TATATATATTATATATATTGTGTGTGTGTGTGTGTGTGTGTGTGTGTGTGTGTGTGTGTGTGAGTGTGTACTATATATATATATATATATGTTATGTATAGTATACATACATACGCAACACAGAATGAAGTTCTTTATAAGCCCTTAAGCAAATGCGCAATAAGGCTTCGCCGCGACGAGCGGAGGGCGGCCCCGCGCTGTCACCTGGCGCAGTCCTATCACGCAGCAGGAGATTTAGTGCGACAGCCCCTCGGGCGCCGCTAATCTTCCTCTTTGCGCAAATAACTCCAAAATAACACTCGATATCTTTTCATAACCCTAACAGCGCAGCATAAGTGGGCGGGCGGTGTCCCTCTCGCCGGGGCCGAAATTGGACGAGGCGGCCGGATTTTACCGGACTGCTGTGGGATATACAGCGGCCTCACCTCCGCGACGGCTAATGAACGTCCTCCTGCAAGTATATAGTGCCGAGGCGGGAAACCCCTGCCAGACTTTCCCCATTTTATGCTGTTTCCTCGCAAGAGAGCATTTTGCCCGAGCGGGATGTTTGTTCCACAGATTAGATGCTGCTTCGTTCATATGCACATTGCATCCTGAGCATCAAAATGTTTTTGTTCCTCGCGCTGGTTACTCGCTTTTCATCGCCTGTGAATTTATGCAGCCCAACTTTTCTTCTTTTTTGTTGTTGATTCCTTTCAGCTCCAAATTATATATATTTTTTATGCTCTCGTTTTCATTACTTTTAATTATCTCTCTTTTATACCACAGTAATAATTGCCTGAGCCTTTACTTATTCCCATTTCGCCTCCGCTGAGTCCCAAACAATGACGGAGAACTCTATCGGTGTCAACTCCGCCCGTGAGGAAAGCTCCCCGCCCGGCGCTATCTTTTCCTCCCGAGTCTACACATCACAGACACACAAAACTTCGGGTTAAGTGCTTGAGTTCCTGAACATCTCTATAAAACTCGACCGGCGGAGAATTTCCTTGTGGAGGCAACAAAGGTATCGCTTCCTCGACTTTTATTTTTATGTCTGTCTAAAGCACTGTTCTCGTGGGAAGGGGTGGGGGTGGAGGGGGGGGGGGGGGTTGTCGCGTCTGTGTTAGGGACGGCAGCGTCTTCTGAGATAGGCACGTCTCTCTGTCTGTCTCTTTGAATGGATGACGCTCTCTCTCTCTCTCTCTCTCTCTCTCTTATCTCTCTCTCTCTCTATCTCTCTGTTTGTCTTTTTGCCTTACTGTCCGTCTGTTTGTCCATTTGTGTGTTTTTGTCTGCTTATTTTTTTTTCTTTCTATCTATTTATCTATCTATATTTCACACAGACAACACACACACACGGCTGCAAATATATACATGCACACACACACACATACATACATACACACACACACACATACACACCACACACACACACACACACACACACACACAACACACACACACACACACACACACACACACACACACACACACACACACACACACACACACACATTATATATATATATATATATATATATATATATATATATATATATATATATATATATATATAAACGCACAAGTAAGTGTATCTCTGCGTTGAACAACGATGGGAAGAACAACAGAACACGAATATACCGAAGGCATATTCGTGTATTTTTTGTTCTTCCCTTTGTTGTTGCTGTTGCAATTTGATCGACACAAATTCCATGTGTGTGTGTGTGTGTAAATGCGGCTTGTGTGTATACAGACAAAGACAAAGAGACAGACACAGAGATGAACAGACAGGCAAAGATACAGACAGTGATGCTGCCATACAGTCGAAGCATCTGTGCGTGCGTGTGCAAGAGCAATTTTACCTTTTCTATTCCAAGGAACATCTCCGAAGCCTGTTTATCAAGTGGCTTTATAACCCCCAGAAGACCAATAATCCCGGCATCTTTTATTAAGATTTTGCGTACTCGTGGCCCGTCCCGTTTTACTGTAGCTTATCGTAGATAGAGACGCTCACGTACTTGATGTATCCTGCCTTCCTGAACACACCCTCGTCCCGATTCCTGCGCGATTCCCACTCGCGAAACAGGAATGGGAATCGGAGAGGCACCCGGCTGGCACCGCAGGGCAACCGGATCTGCGCATTTGGCAGCCGAGGCGGTGTTGGCTATGACGTCATCATCTGCCGAAGTTTGTCGTCAGAAAATTCGAGCGAAAGAAGACTGCCGCCCTTCTGCCGAATCACTGAACAATAATAATCAAACTATTTGACAATGAATAACGAAATTAACTAATAAATATTTATCAAACTGATTAATAACCAATAATCAAAATCACAGTTAATTAATAACTGAACTGAAGTCAAACCGAGAGAAATAGTGGAGACGAAGGCAGGGCGAAGGCGGCAGGAGAACTGGGCCAAGCGTCGTGATGTTTGTAACTCTGAAACGACTTTCTCTTGAGGTAACAACGAGCGGAGTAATATCTTCAGGTTTCAGGATTCATGAGCTTTTGCTGAAATTATTCCCGTGGGATTTTCTCTCCTTCCTTGCTGTTCGTTTTATTTCGCTCTCTGTCTATCTGTGTGTCTATTTATTGAGCTATCTATTTGATTATATATCAGTTTGAATGTCCATTTATTTGTCTATCTGTCCATTTATCTATCTATCTATATGTATTTATCTAGCTTTCTATTCATCTCTCTGTCTGTCTGTCTCTCCTCTGTCTCTCTCTCTTCCCTCCCCCCCCCCCCCTCTCTCTCTCTCCCCCCCCCTCTCTCTCTCTCACCCCCCTCTCTCTCTCCCTCCCTCCCCTCTCTCTCTCTCTCTCTCTCTCTCTCTCTCTCTCTCTCTCTCTCTCTCTCTCTCTCTCTCTCTCTCTCTCCTCTCTCTCTCTCTCTCTCTCTCTCTCTCTCTCCTCTCCCTCTCTCCCTCTCTCTCTCTCTCTCCCTCCCTCCCCCCCCCTCTCTCTCTCTCTCCCTCCCTCCTCCCTCCCTCCCTCTCTCTCTCTCTCTCTGTCTCCCTCCCTCCCTCCTCTCTCCTCTCTCTCTCTCTCATCACATCACACCCAATAGCCAACACAACTCATCAACATTTTTTTTAATAAGGAGGAATTACCTTTTATCGTCCCGCGATTTCCCTTCCAACTCCAGAACCGGTCATTCACATTGACAGCATTAAATAAACAGAAACAGAGTGCGGGAAACGGTATGTGTTTACCCACACGACGAAAACCACACACGTCGAGGAAGGAAAAGGTGTTAAACCAGAGGGTACGTACCAAAAAAAAAAAAAAAAAAAAAAAAAAAAAAAAAAAGGATAGATAAATAAATAAATAATAAATAAATAGAAATAAGAAAAATAAAATAAAAAAATGCTTTACGTCACTGCATGTCGTGTTGTTTGCGTTACTGAGAAGCTCGACAAACACGCAGCGTTACCCTCATACAATGCTTTATTTTTTCAGTTTATTCTTCCAGTTTACTCGGTGACTCACCCGGGGAATGACTGGGGTTGGGGAAGCCAGTTGTTGATTTTACAAATTCCTTTATTTATATATCTGTTGTTCTTGTTGTTATCATTACTGTTATTATCATTATTTATGTATTGTTATCATTATCATTATTTTCATTATCATTATCGTTATTATTATCATTATCATTATTTTTATTATTAGTTACTATTATCGTTGTCAATATCAGTATTACTGATATTATCATGATCATTATAATATCCATCATTCTTATCATTAGAATTATTATTATCATATCATGATTATCACCATTATTATTATCATCATTATTGTCATTAATATTATTATTATCATCATCATTATGATAACTTTATTCTCATCATTATTATCATTATAACTATTATTACAATCATCATTATGAACATTCTTATCATAAGCTTGGGCCGCGAGAAGGCGAGACTGTTGCCAGCGATGAATTAATCCGCTTCTTCTGTCAGCTTTGAACGCCCTCCCCCCCTCTCTCTCCTATCCCCCCCACCAGCAGAAGGACGACGCCCCTTCGCCCCCACCAGCAGGAGGAGGAGAACGGCCTTCACTCCCATCACCAGGAGGACACCCTTCCCACACCAACAGGAAGAGGACGCCCTTCGCCCCCACCAGTAGGAGGTGGACAACGCCCCTTCCCCCCACCAGCAGGAGGACGGCCTTCACTCTTACCAACAGGAGGAGGAGGACGCCCCTCCCCCATCAGCAGAGGAGATGACGCCTCTCCCCCAACAGGCAGGAGGACGACACCCCCTTCCCCACTAGCAGGAGGACGACCCCTCCCCTCAACAACAGGAGGACGACGCCTCTCCCCCAACAGCAGGAGGAGGACGACGCCCCTCCCCTTCCCCACCAGCAGGAGAACGCCCTTCCCCCACCAACAGGAAGAGGACGCCCTTCGCCCCCACCAGCAGGACGAGGCCGACGCCCTTCGCTCATACATCTCCATCCGCCGCGACGTCCCCACCGCCATGCAAGACAGAAATACCCGCGTCTTCTGAGATACGGCCGCTTCGACGCCTCCCGCCGCAGGACTGGGTGCCTTGAGGCCGCGTCGTCATCTAGGAAGTAACGCGTCTGACATCTCTAACCTCTCTGACGTTTCTAATATCTCTGACATGTCTGGCATTTCTAGCTTCTCTAACATCGCTAACATTTATTATTATCATTATCATTATTATCATTATTATTATTGTTGTTGTTTAATGTTGTTGTTGTTGTTGTTGTTGTTGTTGCTGTTGTTATTATGATCATTATTGTAAGCTATATAAAGGACCACACTGAAAAAATCGAGCATTATTCCACCAAACGTGTCAGTGCGGGTCAAGATACAGCTAAGAAAGAATGAGAGAATAGAAAGTCAACTATTTACGTCAGAAAAAATCTTGTTAGCTAATCTTTTAAACTTATCAAGAGTCGGAGAAGTTACAATCTCTGAAGGCAATCTATTCCAAAACCTATAAATAGAAGTAAAAAGTATCTAGTAAACTGACTTGTAGACGATCGACTTAATCAAATGTCATGGAATTGAGAGTCATAGAACTTCTGGTAACTCCTGCAGGTTGATAAAAATCAGGTAAAAACTTAAAGAAGGGATGTGAATTATCGGATGGAATCTTTCTCAANATATAATTAATATATTAGATATATATATATTATAATGTATATATTAATTATATATATGATTTGAAGAGAATAAATTAGCTATAATAAAAAAATTTATTAATAAAATACCGGTTACCGTAGAGTTGTGTGCAATTACTTGGAAAGGGTTAACAGGATACAGAGGTCATATTTTTTCTTGGACACACTATCAGCAACACATTTGCGTGTATTGCAGTTGTGTTGACACACACCACACAACATCAATCATCTACACAAGGCTACGCACCGCAACACACGGCATATACACACACAATACACAGGCCATAATATATAGATAATATATTGGTATATAGGATAATACTATATATATATATATATATATAGTAGTATATAATTAGGTATTATAATATACTACACAACATACATACATACATACATTACATACATATATATATATATACTATATATATATATATATAATATTATATATATATATATACACACAAAAAAAAAAAACAAAAAAATAACCCCAATTAACATAATATACCTACATATATATAATAATATATATATATAAATAATATATATATATATATATAATTATATATATCATATATATACACATACATACATACATACATACATACATCAAATATATATATAAATATATATATAATATATTTAATTATAAATATGGGGAGGGCAATGTGTATTAGTATAAGAAGGGCCACTGGGTAACGAGGTCATCCCCTACTTCCCTGCCATTGGACCGACCCATGGACACCCAAACCCCCCTCAGAAAATGAGAAAGTTATGGCGTGTGAAGCTCCTCTGCGCAGAAAAATGCCAACGGGTCATCCAAGGCCGCCAGTCAGGTGGTGATAGAGAGGTATTAATAAATTCATTCCTGATAACCTGTTTCGCCCCGCCGTGGATCAGTTGGTCCGTGGTTGCGTCGCACAGAGAGCAAGCGTTCGATGAGAGTGGGTGAGTGTCCAAGGGCGGGGCTGACAACAGGCTGAAGGGGGCTGTCCTGCTGATATCCTATTTTAGGCTGAAGGAGCCCTGTCCTGCTGATATCCCTGTCTTTAGGCTGAAGGAGCTGTTCCCTGCTGATACCCGTCTTAGTGCTGAAGGGGTCTGTCCTGCTGAATCCTGGTTTTGGCTGAAAGGGGCCTGTCCTGCTGATATCCTGTTTGGGTGAAGGGGGCTGGCCTGCTGATATCCCTGTTTTTGGGCTGAAGGGAAGCTATTCTGGTTGATATCCTGTTCCCTTGGGCTGAAGGGGCTGTCCGCTTTGATATCCTGTCTTAGGCTGAAGGGATGTCCTGCTGATATCCTGTTTTAAGGCTTGAAAGGGGGCTGCCTGCTGATATCTGTCCTAGGCTGAAGGGATCTGTCCTGCAGAATATCTGTTTTGGGCTGGAAGGGCTGTCCTGCTGATATCCTGTCCTTAGGCTGAAGGGGTATGTCCTGCTGATACCTGTTTTAGAGCGAAGGGCTGTCCGCTGAATATCTGTCCTAGGCTGAAAAGGATCTGTCCCGCTGATATCTGTTTTCGGGCTGAAGGGGGCCTGTCCCTGCTGAATACCCTGTCTTAAGGCTGAATGGGGCTGTTCCTGCTATATCCTGTTTTACAGGCTGAAGGGGGCTGTCCTGCTGATATCCTGGTCCTGAGGCTGAAGGGATCTGCCCGCTGATATCCCCTGTTTTGGGCTGAAGGGGGCTGTCCTGCTAGATATCGCCGGTCTTAGGCTGAAGGGGGGCTGTCCTGCTGATCATCCTGTTTGGCTTGAAGGGGTGTCCTGCTGATATCCTGTTTTGGGCTGAAGGGGGCTGTCCTGCTGATATCCTGTGCTTAGGCCTGAAAGGGGGGCTGTCCTGCTGATATCCGTCTTAGGCTGAAAGGGGCTGTCCTGATGATATCGTGTCTTAGGCTGACAGGGGGCTGTCCGTGGCTGATATCGTGGTCTTAGCTGAAGGGCTGTCCTGCGAAATATCCCTGTTTTGGGCTGAAGGGGGCTGTCCTGCTGATATCCTGTCCCTAGGCTGAAGGGATCTGTCCTGCCGATGATCCTGTTTGGGCTGAAGGGGGCTGTTCCTGCTGATATCCTGGTTTGGGCTGAAGGGGGCTGTTCCCTGCTGATATCCTGTCTTAGGCTGAAGGGGGCTGTCCCCTGCTGAATATCTGTCTTAGGCTGAGGGGCTGTCCTGCTGATATCCGTGTCCTTAAAGGCTGAAGGGGCTGTCCGCTGATATCCTGTCTAGGCTGAATGGGGCTGTCCTTGCTGATATCCCTGTCTTTAGGCTGAAGGGGCTGTCCCTGCTGATATCCGTCTTAGGCTGAAGGGGTGTCCCTGCTTGATTATCCTGTCTTAGGCCTGAAGGGGCTGTCCTGCTGATATCCTGTCTTAGGCTGAAGGGGCTGTCCTGCTGATATCCTGTTTTGGGCTGAAGGGGGGGCTGTCCTGCCTGATATCCTGTCCTTAGGCTGAAGGGCTGTCCTGCTGAAATAATCCTGTTTTAGGCTGAAGGGGGCTGTCCTCTGATATCCTGTCTTAGGCTGAAGGGGCTGTCCCCTGCTGATATCCTGTTTTAGGCTGAAGGGGGCGTCCTGCTGATCATCCTGTTCTTAGGCTGAAGGGGGCTGTCCTGCTGATATCCTGTCTTAGGCTTGAAGGGGGCTGTCCTGCTGATACCTTCTTAGGCTGAAGGGGGCTGTCCTCTGATACCTGTCTTAGGCTGAAAGGGGGCCTCGAATATCGCTGTCTAGGCTGAAGGGGGGGCTGTCCTGCTGATATCCTGTCTTAGGCTGAAGGGGGGCTTGTCCTGCTGATGATCCTGTTTTAGGCTGAAGGGGGGCTGTCCTGCTATATCCTGTCTCTTAGGCTGAAGGGGGCTGTTCCTGGCTTGATATCCTGTCTTAGGCTGAAGGGGGCCTGTCCGCTGATATCCCTGTTTTGAGGCTGAATGGGGGCTGTCCTGCTTGATATCCTGTCTAGGCTGAAGGGGGCCTGTTCCTGCTATAATCCCTGTTTTAGGGCTGAAGGGGGCTTGTCCTGCTGATAATCCTGTCCTTAGGCCTGAAAGGGGCTGTCCTGCTGATATCCTGTCTTAGGCTGAAAGGGGGCGCTGTCCTGCTGATGATCCTGTTTTTAGGCCTGAGGGGGCTGTCCTGCTGAATCAATCCTGTCCTTAGGCTGAAGGGGGCTGTCCCTGCTGATATCCTGGTTTGGGCTGAAAGGGGGCTGTCCTGCTGCATATCCTGTGTCCTTTAGGCTGAAGGGGGCTGTCCCTGCGACTATCCTGTCCTTAGGCCTGAGAGGGCTGTCCTGCTGATATCCTGTCTTAGGCTGAAAGGGGGCTGTCCTGCTGATATCCTGTTTGGGCTGAAAGGGGGCTGTCCTGCCTGATATCCTGTCTAAGATGACAGGGAGGCTGTTCCCTGCTGATTCCTGTCTTAGGCTGAAGGGGGCTGTCCTGCTGATATCCTGTTTTGGGCTGAAGGGGCTGTCCTGCTGATATCCTGTCTTAGCGCTGAAGGGGGCTGTCCTGCTGATATCTGTCTTAGGCTTGAAGGGGGCTGTCCTGCTGATTACCTGTCTTAGGCTGAGGGGGCTGGTCCTCTGATATCCTTCTAGGCCTGAAGGGGGCTGTCCTGCTGATTATCCCTGTTTTTGGGCTGAAGGGGGCTGTCCTGCTGATATCCGTCTTTAAGGCTGAAGGGGGCTGTCCTGCTGAATATCTCTGGTTTAGGGCTGAAGAGGGGTGTCCTGCTGAATATCCTGTCTGCTAGGCTGAAGGGGCTGTCCGCTGAATATCCTGTTTTGGGCTGAAAGGGGCTGTCCTGGCTTGATAATCTGTCTTAAGGCTTTGAAGGGGGCTGTCCTGCTGATATCCTGTTTGGGGCCTGAAGGGGGCTGTCCTGCGAATATCCTGTTTTGGGCTGAGGGGCTGTCCTGCTGATATCCTGTCTTAGGCCCCTGAAGGGGGCTGTCCCCTGCTGATATCCCTGTTTAGGCTGAAGCGGTCCTGTCTGCTGATATCCTGTCTTAGGCTGAACGGGGGCTGTCCTGCTGATTATCCTGCTTTGGGCTGAAGGGGGCTGTCCTGCCTGATATCCTGCTCCTTAGGCTGAAGGGGCTGTCCTGCTCTGATCATGTCCTGCTGATTCCTGTAGGCTGAAGGGGCTGTCCTGCTGATATCCTGTCTTAGGCTGAAGGGAGCTTCCGTGCTATATCCTGTCTTAGGCTGAGGGCTGTCCTGCTGATATCCTGTTTTAGGCTGAAAGGGGGCTGTCCTGCTCCTGTTAGGCTGAAAGATCCTGTCCTGAAGGGGGCTGTCCTGCTGATATCCTGTCTAGGCTGAAAGGGGCTGTCCTGCTGATATCCCTGTCCTTAGGCTGAAGGGGGCTGTCCTGCTGATATCCTGTTTGGCTGAAGGGGGCTTGCTCCTGGCTGAATGTCCCTGTCCTGTCGGCTGAAGGGGGCTGTCCTGCTGATATCCTTTTTGGGCTGAAGGGGGCTGTCCTGCTGCTGATGATCCTGTTTTGGGGCTGAAGGGGGCTGTCCTGCTGATATCCTGTCTTAGGCTGAAGGGGGCTGTCCTGCTGATATCCTGTTTTGGGCTGAAGGGGGCTGTCCTGCTGATATCCTGTCTTAAGTCTGAAGGGGGCTGTCCTGCTGATATCCTGTCTTAGGCTGAAGGGGGCTGTCCTGCTGATATCCTGTTTTGGCTGAAGGGGGCTGTCCTGCTGATATCCTGTCTTAGGCTGAAGGGGGCTGTCCTGCTGATATCCTGTCTTAGGCTGAAGGGGCTGAGTTTTGGGCTGAAGGGGCTGTCCTGCTGATATCCTGTCTTAGGCTGAAAGGGGGCTGTCCTGCTGATATCCTGTCTTAGGCTGAAGGGGGCTGTCCTGCTGATATCCTGAGGCTGAAGGGGGCTGTCCTGCTGATATCCTGTCTTAGGCTGAAGGGGGCTGTCCTGCTGATATCCTGTCTTAGGCTGAAAGGGGGCTGTCCTGCTGAATCCTGTCTTAGCTGAAGGGGCTGTCCTGCTGATATCCTGTCTTAGGCTGAAGGGGGCTGTCCTGCTGATATCCTGTTTTGGGCTGAAGGGGGCTGTCCTGCTGATATCCTGTCTTAGGCTGAAGGGGGCTGTCCTGCTGATATCCTGGGCTGAAGGGGGCTGTCCTGCTGATATCCTGTCTTTAGGCTGAAGGGGCTGTCCTGCTGATTATCCTGTTTAGGCTGAAGGGGGCTGTCCTGCTGATATCCTGTTTTGGGCTGAAGGGGGCTGTCCTGCTGATATCCTGTCTTAGGCTGAAGGGGCTGTCTGCTGATATCCTGTCTTAGGCTGAAGGGGCTGTCTGCTGATATCCTGTTTTGGGGCTGAAGGGGGCTGTCCTGCTGATATCCTGTTTGGGGCTGAAGGGGGCTGTCTGTGATATCCTGCTGAAGGGGCTGTCCTGCTGATCTGTCTTAGGCTGAAGGGGGCTGTCCTGCTGATATCCTGGGCTGAAGGGGGCTGTCCTGCTGATATCCTGTCTTAGGCTGAAGGGGGCTGTTCCTGCTGATATCCTGTCTTAGGCTGAAGGGGGCTGTCCTGCTGATATCCTGTTTTTGGGCTGAAGGGGCTGTCCTGCTGATATCCTGTTTTAGGCTGAAGGGGGCTGTCCTGCTGATATCCTGTCTTAGGCTGAAGGGGGCTGTCCTGCTGATATCCTGTCTGGCTGAAGGGGGCTGTCCTGCTGATATCCTGTCTTAGGCTGAAGGGGGCTGTCCTGCTGATATCCTGTCTTAGGCTGAAGGGGGCTGTCCCTGCTGATATCCTGTCTTAGGCTGAAGGGGGCTGTCCTGCTGATATCCTGTCTTAGGCTGAAGGGGCTGTCCTGCTGATATCCTGTCTTAGGCTGAAGGGGGCTGTCCTGCTGATATCCTGTCTTAGGCTGAAGGGGGCTGTCCTGCTGATATCCTGGCTGAGGGGCTGTCCTGCTGATATCCTGTTTTGGGCTGAAGGGGGCTGTCCTGCTGAATATCCTGAAGGGCTGGATATCCTGTTTTGGGCTGAAGGCTGTCCTGCTGATATCCTGCTGAAGGGGCTGTCCTGCTGATATCCTTTTAGGCTGAAGGGGCTCTGTCCTGCTGATATCCTGTCTTAGGCTGAAGGGGGCTGTCCTGCTGATATCCTGTCTTAGGCTGAAGGGGGCTGTCCTGCTGATATCCTGCTGTCCTGCTGCTGAAATATCCTGGCTGAAGGGCTGTCTGCTGATATCCTGTCTTAGGCTGAAGGGGGCTGTCCTGCTGATATCCTGTCTTAGGCTGAAGGGGGCTGTCCTGCTGATATCCTGTCTTAGGCTGAAGGGGGCTGTCCTGCTGATATCTGGAAGGGGGCTGTCCTGCTGATATCCTGGCTGAAGGGGGCTGTCTGCTGATATCCTCTGAAGGGGCTGTCCTGCTGAGGCTGAAGGGGCTGTCCTGCTGATATCCTGTCTTAGGCTGAAGGGGGCTGTCCTGCTGATATCCTGTCTTAGGCTGAAGGGGGCTGTCCTGCTGATATCCTGGCTGAAGGGGCTGTCCTGCTGATATCCTGTTTTAGGCTGAAGGGGCTGTCCTGCTGATATCCTGAAGGGGGGCTGTCCTGCTGATATCCTGTCTTAGGCTGAAGGGGGCTGTCCTGCTGATATCCTGTCTTAGGCTGAAGGGGGCTGTCCTGCTGATATCCTGTTAGGCTGAAGGGGGCTGCCCTGCTGATATCCTGTTTTAGGCTGAAGGGGGCTGTCCTGCTGATATCCTGGCTGAAGGGGCTGTCCTGCTGATATCCTGTTTTAGGCTGAAGGGGGCTGTCCTGCTGATATCCTGTTTTAGGCTGAAGGGGGCTGTCCTGCTGATATCCTGTTTTGGGCTGAAGGGGGCTGTCCTGCTGATATCCTGTCTTAGGCTGAAGGGGGCTGTCCTGCTGATATCCTGTCTTAGGCTGAAGGGGGCTGTCCTGCTGATATCCTGTCTTAGGCTGAAGAGGCTGTCCTGCTGATATCCTGTCTTAGGCTGAAGGGGGCTGTCCTGCTGATATCCTGTTTTAGGCTGAAGGGGGCTGTCCTGCTGATATCCTGTCTTAGGCTGAAGGGGGCTGTCCTGCTGATATCCTGGCTGAAGGGGGCTGCCTGCTGATATCCTGTTTTGGGCTGAAGGGGGCTGTCCTGCTGATATCCTGTTCTAGAATCCTTATCTTCGCAGCTTTCCTAGCAGGAGCATTGCAAAGTCAATAGCTTTGCTTCCTGAAACTTGATGCATTTACATATCGTATGAATATGAGTAACACATAAGTTCAACAGTATGTAAGAGTAATGTTTTCTCCAGTATAATCCTAAAATAGCATTGCCTATTTGCTCAGTTACGAGATATCTATATACTAATCTCTAAAAAGGATATCCAAATATTAGAGCAGGCAATCTAATGACGATAATAAAAAAAAAAAAATAATAATAAATAAATAGAAAAAAAAATGGTAGGTTATCACCACCTGAAATATGTTCCGTCCATTCATTCGCCGGACGTACGCTGATCGGGCAAATTGCTCGCTCTCGTGCGATTGTTTCTATTTTACCACTTCCCCCTCCCCCCCCCCCCCCCCCTTGAAATCCACGATTTTTTTTTTTTTTTTTTTTTTTTTTTTTTGCAAATTCTTTTTCCCTCTCAATACCCACTCCATCCATAACGTTTCCGGTCTACCCCTTCCTCCTCCTCTTCCTCTTTTTCTTCTTCTCCTCTCCTTTCCCTCTTCCTCTTCTCCTCCTTATCCTCCTCATCCTCATCTTCTTCTCCTCCTCCTCTCCTCTTCTTCTTCCTCCTCCTCTTTCCTCTTCTTCTTCCTCCTCCTCTTCCTTCCTCCTTCTTCTCTTCTTCCTCCTCCTCCTCAGATTCTTCCTCCTCCTCCTCTTCCTTCCTCTTCCTCCTCTCCCCTCCCCTCTCTTCTTCCTCTTCCTCCTTCCTCCTCCTCCTCCCTCCTTCTTTTTTCTTTCCTCTCTTCCTCTTCTGCTTCTTCTTCCTCCTCCTCTCTTCTTCTTCTCCTCCTCCTCTTATTCTTCTTCCTCTCCTCCTCTTCTTCTTCCTCCTCTTCCTCCGCCTCTTCTTCCTCCTCCTCCTTTTCTCTTCTTCTTCTTCTTC